GGTTTAAAGTAAGATCCTTTTGTTTCCCTTTCCCTTTAGTTAAACCTCAGCTGGTGTAATTAGGGACATCCCCTTTTCTTCAATAAATAGCGAGGAGAATCCTATCATGGTGTTGTCTGTTGGACAGTAGGATGGAAAATTGTTTGCAGTTTATGGTTCAGGTTGTGACTGTCCTTGTGCTGTGAGGAAGTATGTTCTTTAGCCCAGCTGATGTTTTGCAAGTGTGGATTTCCACTGAAATACGCCTTGAAATCGATTAAAACACCTTGTGCTCAATTTGATTCATGACTCATCCTTTTTTTGCATTAAATAACTCAAAGTAACTAAGTAACTTTCACTCAAATTACATTTTAAATGAAGTAATTTTGTACTTTTACTTGAGTAAATTTTGAGATGGGTAATTTTACTTTTACTCTGAGTAGAATTTAGGCAAAGTAAAGATACTTTTACTTAATATCAATTTTTTTGTGCTCTTTCTACCTCTGCTCATTAAACACACACACAAAAAAACACAAAACCTAAAGAAAAAAGTAATGAATAGAAGCATTAATGCCTCTGATAAAAATAAAACCCTCCTCTGTGGACCTCCAGTCTGTTCCCATTGGCTGATCCCTTACTGTTGTTAGATTAAATGGTGCCTCATAGTGCAAATTCCTGTCTATCTTTATCTTTACCTATGGTTTATTTCTCTGACGATTGGCTATTTAAATCATATTTTAAAGCAAAGTTGTTTAAAAATGTTTCACTTCAGATGTAGATCAGGAATCAGTAAAGTTTTATTAAATCTATAAAATAAAAGGAAGATGCACTTTCTTTTTCATCACTCGGAATTAACTTGAATTTGCTTTTTTAATCGTTTTTTTATGTTCAATTCAGGTGTTATAAGAAAAATGCTTGACTTTACTGATCCATCAACAATATGTACACTTTCCATGACTAATAAACTTGCATGATGTGTATATAGCCGCTTATTCTAAATTGGACAAACTTGTGTGATTCTTGGGAGTTAAAAACATAAGGATTAGATATTTCTTCTTATGCCCCCGTTGGGTTTCCACGCTTAAATAGCAACTATTTACAATATGGCTCTGTAAAGCTCTAAAAAATGTGTTTTTACAAGCTCTGTCTTTAGTCTGAACAATGTTTCTCAGATGTTAAAAAGCCGTTCGGCACCTCAGGGGCCGAGTGCTGTGAGTTATCACAGCTGGGATCAGCTTTAACAAGTCTAATTAGCACTTAGTGAAGAATAAACATTTAGGAAGTGGTTTGTATCACACTCGATCATCGTAAACATTTTGACTCTCTTCGTTTAAGAAGCTGCAGAGGGATCCCTACGCGCCAGTAAACTTGCCCTGCTGCAGAGTGGAACATTGACGTTATGAATGGAGCCTCCTGTCAGGCAGGCTTTGACATGCTGTCACCTTTATGCAAATGGTTTGATTTCACCTCTGGGTGTCCAAATTGCATCACTTAGCTGCTAAATTGGTGCTTCTGTTTTCCTCTACCAGCTAAAAGCTCAAATAGTCGACCTTTGTCATGCAGGGGAGAAAAGAAAGAAGGACTTTTAATGAAGGTGATTCGGTTCAGTGTGGATCAGCTTAGAGCTTTTCTAAAGCATCGACCAAAGTTTGAGTCTTTTCATGTTTAGTTCTTTTCAAGCCGATGATTTGATTAACGCAGACAGACGACGAACTAATTAAAGATATTTGTGTAGATCTACTGTATTAATAATTTGCACT